GTCAGGATGTGATGATAAGTCGTGTATAATACGTGTTTTTAGAGTCTTTTTAGGTAGTTTTCGAGTCTAGATTAGTTTTTCATGGCTTATTTTGGCTTGATTTGGTTTAGTTGTGATCATACGATGCTTTTATGGGTAGATTCGTTGTTTTTGACGTATTTCGGGATTTAACGAAGATTTTTGGAAGTTTTACGGAGTTGCGGATCGTGATCATATAGCTTGCAATTCACCTAGAAAGCCAAAGTTTGAAGTTGAATTCACTTAAGGGTAATTTCCATCCAGACACGCCCATGTCACTCAAAGACATGGGCATGTCAATGTACGTATTTTGAGAAGGCAGAAAGTTGGAAGTTGAAGTTTCATATGAGGCACGCCCATGTTCATTTGAGGCATGCCCATGTCGAGTCGAGTGTTTCGAGCTAGCAGCAGCTACGTGCTGAGGGAAGCATGGCCATGTTGAATACGGGCATGCCCATGCCTCGTCGAGTGAATTTGGCCCAGCGAGACATGCCCATGTCAAATTTTGACATGCCCATGTCTCGCTGGAGATTGAAGAAAAATTAATTTTGACTTTAGGCACGGGCATGTCTTGTGTGACATGCCCATGCCTGGACGAATTTAGTCGGTTTTAATCCGATTTCTTTCCTTATTCTATCCTATATTTTAGCCTTCTTATAAATACTCTTGATCATTTTAATTTCATTATCTATCATCTTAGAACCCTAGTTTTCTCTCTAAACTTTATTTTCATTGTAATTCAAGATTATGCACTCAAGTTTCTTCATGTATCTCTCATAATTCAAGATTTGGTATTTTCTTATTCTTTTTAATTCCTTTTATTATCAATTATGTTTTCTGTAATTCTTGTTATTGTTTTCATTAATATGTGCGAGTAGTTTCCCTATTCCAAGATCTAGCAGAACCCGAATATGATTTATGCATGAATTAATTCTTTAAATTCTCTAATAATAATTGCAATTAATTTGCTTAATTGATTGTGCTCATGTCAATACTAGATTAGGGGTAATTGATATTGTTATTAATCCATGGTTTTAATCGCAACAGGAGTTGGGTTTTGACGGATTTGAATAAATCAATTAAGGGTTTGAAGTTCATCACGAGAGTAGTTGAATGGATGATTAAGAAGTTAGAGTAATGTGCTTAAGGTTTTTAATTTACATGATTCCACTGAAGTAGGCTTGATTGTAATTAGAGAATTGAAGCCATTGATAACTCGGGAGAGACCATTGGTACTATTCAGGGATTACTTTTCCTCTTTAATCAATTGAATTATGTGTTAGGGTAGAACGACTATTGCATTAATTGTATTCGTGGTGATGCTTGATCTTGGATGTTTTTAGCATTAATTTGTCATATTGTTTAGATTTAATCGTTTTAATTAGTTCTTTAGAAATTGATTCTTACTTATTTGAATTGGTTACTTGCTTAGTAATTGCTTGAGTTGATTTAATTAGTTGAACCATAGTCTCTTGGGATCTGACCCTTGCTTGCCTGTCTACATAGTAGTGGTATAGTTAGGTTTATTTTTGTTAGGCACGCCACACTTCTATCAGGATGTTTTCCTTCTAATTCATCTATCTGTATTCGAAAACTTGATAACTTTTTCACCAACGAAATAATTTCACGACAATCCATTAGATCTAATATCATGGATTCAAAACTAGGATTTTTCTCCTTCGAAAAGAGGAGATAATCCTTGTCTTTCGAAGGAGGTCGAAAAACCCTTGTCTTTCGAAGGACATCGAAAACTCTTTCTTTCGAGGGAGAAAAGTTCCTCCTTTTTAGGAGGAAGCATTATTATAAACCTAAAAAAAACTTTAAAGAAACAAGAATTGGGGCTTTCCACCGGTTAAAACCGATGGAAGCCCGTTCAAAATTCAATAATGGAGGCTAGGGTTTTGGAGAGAGGGGGAAGGAGAGAGGAGAGAGAATTTTTACTCTATTCTACATCTTGTAGGCGTACTACTTGTTTTTATTGGTTGACTTTATCATAAATTTTAATTTTAAATAATAGATCAAATTTCATTATATACGAGTAATAATCAATGCAAAAGAAGTGGCACGCATATGGTACACAAATGGTAAGAATGAAAATTCACCCTTCAAAATAGGAAAAATGGAAACAAATAATCTCACCTTTGCGTGGTCCGACAATAATATCCTACCTTTTGATTATTACGAGACAATATGTCATTTTCTTTTTACATACCATTACTTGTTGGTAACCGTTTTTTGTAGGCTATATGCATGCCACATGACAATTTTTAATAGGTTTATTTCATTTTTTTAATAAAAAAAACAGTCAACAAGCCCCACCGTGAAACCCTTGTCCTACCCCAGCCACCACCAAAACTGGTCGGCCACCCTCTTCAACCTCCGAAAATGGCCGGCCGACAGCAGGGTTGAGTTTATAAGGTGTTTAAGGGGGGTTTTCGGGGTGGCTAGGGAGGTTGGGATGGAGTTTTTGGCGGCTGGGATGGAGCTTTCGACTTGTTTTCGGCGGCTGGGTGGAGTTTTTGGCGGGTTTTCGACGTCTGGGTGGTGTTTCGGCAGGTTCACGGCTGCTAGGTGGGGTTTTCGGGGTGGTGGATTCGGCCTATGGTGGTTATGGTGGTTTTGGGGGTGATTTCGGAGGTGGGTTTTGTTCGAAGGGGTGGTTTTGGGTGGAGCTAAGGTTAGGGTTTCACGGTGGCTGGTGGTGGTGGGCTTTTTCTTTTTTAAAAAAAAATTACATGTTTTTTTTATTTTATTTTAAACTTTTTATTTATTTTTACCAATTATTGTGCAATACGTGGCTTTAAAATAATAATTAAAAATATATATATTTTAACATGTTTAACAGGTTATTAGTAAAAAGGTTTGTTAAAAAAAAGATGATGTACAAAGGTGAGATTGTTATTGTTCGACCATGCAAAGGTGGAATTATTTATATTCATTTTTACCTTCAAAATATACAAATCTTAAAAATATTTGACTTGCCTATATCTTGCTTGATTTTTCTAACTATTGTGGATTTATTTTCTGGAGAAAAAAAGTTCCTTTTTTTTTGGTGTGCTCTCTTCTTGTGTCATTGTTGTAGATTCAAGACCTTATATCTTCCATAACGTCTAATAATAATTAATTGCTCCATATTATAGATTCAAACTTAGAGCCTGTTCTTTTCAGTTTAATTGCAGTTCAGTTCAGTTTTCAATTTCCTTCTCTCATAAACAATTCATTTCAGCTCTATTCAATTCAGTTCAATCCAAATCAGTTCATTTCAATAAATCAGAACAAACCTTTAATTGCTCCTTATTTAAGATTCAAACTTGTACATGAAAATAATAAAGCAAGTGAACACTGACTTGTCTCTTAGTTAGTTACTCCCTTCGGCTTTTTTTTTTATTTGCATCTCTTTCCTTTTATGGGTGTTTTTTTATTTGCATCACTTCTATATATAGTAACTTTACACTATATTTTATTATTTCTCTCTCTTATTTTAAACCCTACTCAAATTAATTTATCATTTGTCAATCTCATGGTCCCCACTACTCTCTCACATACTTTTACTTTCATGGTCCCCACATTACTTTTACCATAATAAATTATTCATCCACTTACATTATTAATTCATTCTCCTAAAACTCCGCGCACTTGCAAGTGATGCAAATAAAAAAAAATAAAAAAATAAAAAATAAAAAATAGAGGGAGTATTTAATAATCATTATTAATTGATTTTTAATAATTTGCATCTCTTATAGTCACTTATTTTTCTATATTTATTGTGTATGAATTATACTTTGTATGAAATAGTGCAACAATGTCTAAAATAATCTTATTAAAGATTATGAACTAGATAAATACGTCTAAAATAATCTTATCAAAGATTATAAACAAGATAAATATTGTTGGAGATTGTTTGAAACTTTTAATAATAACCCCATTTCTTTAAGAAAAAATTACAGTAGTTTAAATGACGGTATTTCACCAATTTACCTTCACAAATCTTAAATAGAGTTTAACCCCATTTAATTTAAACTTTTGGAAACTTCTACCTCCGTTTCATTTTACTTGCAACAATTTCCATTTTGGGGTGGTTCAAATTACTTGCAACAATTTTTTTTCCTTATTTGGTAACTTGTGGCCTATAAAATGACATATATGCCCTTACTTTTTTTCTTAAACACCCTTATTAAATTACAAATCTGATTTCATTAAATTAAACCCCAACCTTAATTAATTAAACTATCATCCCATTTAATATTCTCTTTCCTCCCCCAACCCCATTTTCATGGTGGCTTCATGGTGTTACGAGCGGCGGGGGGTTGTAGTGGGTCGGGTAGATCGGCGGGTTTCGTGGGTTAGTTTCGTGGGTTTGGTTTCATGGGTTTGCTGGGTTGGTGAATCGGCAGTGCTGGGTTCGTGGTTGCAGATCGGCGGCGGGGGGTTGCAGAGCGGCGGCGTCGTGGGTTTGATTCGTGGGTCAGGTTTCGTGGTTTCAGATCGGCGGGTTTCGTGGGTTGGTTTCGTGGGTTTGGTTTCATTGGTTTGGTGGGTTGGTGGATCGGCAATGCTGGGTGCATGGGGTGGTGGTGGTGGGTCGGCAGGTCGCTGGGTTCGTGGGGTGGTGGTGGTGCGTCGGCGGGTTGCTGGGTGCGTGAAGTGGTGGGGTGCGTTCGACGGTTTATTGGGTGTGTGAGGTGGTGGTGGTGCGTCGGGGTTTGTTGGGTGATGCTTGATGGTGTTGGTGGTGGTAGGCTATTTAATTTATTTAAGTTTGATTTTTTTTTTTTGTTAGATTAATAGTTAATCACATACCCTTATTTTTCCATAATCATGTTTTCAATCTTTTGCCTTGGTTTCCGAAAACTTGTACTTTATTGCAAGTAAAATGAATCGAAGGTAGTATCAGAAAATATGTAAGAACTTCAGAAATTAAGTTAAGTTGACTAGTTCAAAAAAAAAAAAAAAAAAGGTTAAGTTGACTAGTTCAATCTTGGTAGAATGAGAAATCTTACTTCAATTAAATACCACAACATTGAATTGATACATTAGTTGAACTCAACAATTGAAAAAGGTAGGAAATAAGTTTATACATGAATTAGTATGTTACTTTAATAAACACCACAACCCAAAATATACATTTGCTTGACATGATAGCGTAAATTACTAAAGCTTTTTATGTACTAGTGTACAGTCATATCACACCATTTTTTCCAACAGCTACCGACGGATACCAAAAGCCTCCTGCTTCTATCAACTCCAGACAGCTCAATATTTCATTCCTTCCTACCAATCGTCATCAAGACTAGCACGGTGAAAGCACAAGACAGTACAGACAAATAAAAAGAAAGATGCTAATTCAATGAGCATCGCTCCAGTCTCTATCAGATGGGCATGTCTAAGAATCATAGGAATTGCAATGCTTCCCACGGCGGAAGCTCCCGTCAAGAACTTGGCAGCATCTATCCAACTGCAAATAAACACACATAGAGAATAAAAATGGAACTCTAGCAAAGAGTCAAACAATATGCAATATGCTGCCAGGCATCTAGCATGTACCCACATATAGTGAAAACGTAGACAACTGAATAACCAACAATAATTCATGAAATATACATAATGCTCACAAAAACATTTACCTATGGGTCATATAGGCACATAGCAATGTAAAACCTATCATATTTAAGGCTAGCTATAAATTTCATTCCGAGAACAATAAAGGCTAAAGGAAAATAACATTGGCTTCAACATAATTGCGGTAAAATATTACGAAGCTATTCCCTCACTTAATTCTAAATATCGACACCTTAAAGAATAGGGCATGCTTGATTTCTTCTTATCAAAACAAAAATACACATTATTCACCCTCATCATCTTAATTACTCTCCATACATAATTGCAAAGCATCGAATCTTATTGTGTCCAATTCTTCTATTCACAGTGCAAAGGTGTTCTAGGCGGATTATAGTGATACAATTACCAAAGTGTATAACATAACATTTTTTGTAAATATTGTGAAATTGGAAATAATACCATTAAGAAGTCAAAATATAACTTTCCCTCTATCTCTCTCTCTCCTCATGTACCTTTCCGTCAATTGATTTTCTCTCTATCTCTATCTTCCCTATGCCTTTCCTTCTGCCGGGGCGCCAATGAGTCCCATCTTCTCCATTGTCTCACACCCACATAGTTAATAGTGTTTACAAAGTATCTGACATGATTTACTAGTTTGCCCATTGGTTTACATGTGCAAGTAATGAATAACTGTAATCAATCCAGGTTTTTTCATAGTGTAAACTAAATAGGGCTTTACAAGGACAATATACGTTATCAATTTAATTCTGAAAAGGGGACAGACAGACAGCTCATTATAAACACAGCAGACTCAATTTAGTCTTTCATTACAAGATGAAGACATTCAAAAGTTCTGTAAAAGTCATCTTGCACACTATGAAACCACCAATGTCTACAGGCTACAAGGCTCTGGTAAAATATCTACATATCATCAATAACATATTAAGCTATCAAAAACAATATGCTACATGAGCTGAAGTTAGTCAATTCACCATATATTCTAGGCTTGCCATACTTTCACACATACTTTCACCTAACACAGATACAGGTATCCCAAACCACCACTATCTGAGCAGGCATATATTGGACACCATTACTACAAAATGCCAATTGATGATTTGATGTAATATAAAGTGATAGTCAGTCTTACCCTCCACCATCTCGACTTACTAAGAATTGCGTGGAGCCACCTCCAAAGAACATGCATGGCATAGGAACTACCACATACATTAGAGCTACAAGAAACATAACAACCTAGTCATCAAAATGCAATGCAAGTATAATCAAATTCTGTTCTATAATGTACAGATACCAGAACATACCTGACAACAAAGGCCACCAGTTACTGTAAATTGCACAAGCCTGCAACAAATAAACATTAGTCAAAGAATTTTAATATATCAAGCAGAGACTGGACAAAGTGCAGTTGCACAAGATAGATCTGGAAAACGTGTATAAACTATCAGAATAGAGCCATCCAGTCAAAATTAAAAAGCTTACCAAATCATGACTAGTATCAGTGGAACTGATATAGTAGCTAATCAGCATCCTCTCAATTTATAATACAATGGACCAAACCAAACACCCCACTAATAATATTCCAATTCATCTCGTGATGAAGTGACCTTTTCAACCGAGGGTCAAATAAACTCCCAATAAAAGCTGAATATTTATTAGTAGAAAATCCCAAATAATATGGGATACCTTAATGAAATGGTACTAACACCACAAAAGGGCATCCCTAAAGCACAATTTGGATGGACAAATCTAATGATAAGAATTTGAACACTTTTAAGAATTGCATCATTGTTGAGACTTTGTAACTATCCAGATCGCTGAAATCTAATGATAGAGAAATCACTCTTAGTTTTAAGATAATAATATCATACAATTACAATAACACAGCTAAAGAGGCTTTACAAAATATTCTAAATTGACCTTTATAATTTTTATTTATTAAAAGAATAATGATAAATTGAAAAATATATTCTTAGATCAATCTGTGGCATTCAATAAGATGAATGCAATAGACAGCTCATATTCACTTGTATGGAAATGTTGCTCCCAAATTTGAACACAGAAGATATAAGCATTGTATACTGTAGACGTAGCAAATTCATTTTTCCCTTAAAAACGATCAACGGGGCATAAAAAATGAATCCAAAAGCAGCGACCCCCCCCCCCTCCCACAAGAGAAGAACACGTTCTAGGTGAGGCATAATTGGGGACGTACTATTGATCTTTGAAGATGAAAGATGACCCATTCTGACCTCATGAAGAAGTAATACTTATTTTTCATAGGCACGATGCATCATACCTAAGTGTGTTTAGCATCTTAATGTATTTGGCAAACAATGTTAGATCTAAGTCGAAATATCTAAACTTTATTGTGAACTTCTTAGCAATTCAACAAAAAATTTATTTTTGTTATCTTCAAGGAACACAAGATGTATAGTTGTTCATTTATAAAAATAATAATATATTAAACAGATTCCGCTACATCATCAAACCATACAAAAATGAGCCTTTTATGAAGCTGGACAAGAGTATGTATGTCTCAAGTCAATAAAGAAAAATATACATGAGGATTAAGGGATAAACAAAGTAATAGAATATATGTTTATGGAGATGATATTGGTTGTATAAAGTAAATAAAGGGTATATCACAGGGATAAAACCAAAAACCTATAACAAAAACTCTTGTTCACACATAACTTTCACATAAGACAAACTTCCAATATTTTCAATCAAGTGAATATAGTTAATTAGGTTCATTTCATCAAACTAAGTAATTGGTACAGAAAACTGGGATGTGTCGTCATCATGATCTATGTTAATTTCAAAGGAAATATTATACGTATTTTGCACTCACTAAACTCTTTCCCTTTTCTCTAGACAAAATTTAGGCAATATACAAGAGCATAAAATAGATAATAGCACTTTTTTCCCTGCTATGGCTTTATATCATAAGGTTTTACCTAGCAAGGATTTTAATAAGCAACTAGTTTTAAAGGACCCAATGGTCGGACCACCTAAGCCGCCAATACGCTTCCAATATCAGAGAAAGGGAAAGCACGGCAAGCAAGTCTTTCAAAAAGCCACATCACAAGCAGTGGAGGCAAAAGTGGCGCAACTGCGCAAGAGGACAATCCAATTAATGTCTGATTTTCTGAAATGGGAGGATGAGTGGAGCAGTGTAGTAGCATTGTAATGTTGAATGAGACGAAAACAATCAAATGTAAGTTGCTTTTGGTAGTTTTGCATTGGATATATATTGAAAGTTGGGTAGTAAGAAAGGCATGTGACTAGACTTGTGTATTTGAGATTTGTATCCTCAAGAGTCAAGATACTTAATTAGAGAGTTGTAACCTAAAGTTACTATAAACCATTCAATCAAACTATTATCTTTTGCTAGCTGATTTTCTTTGTTCTATCTTAAACTCGTGTGTTTGTGATGTGGATTGTTGAATCTATCACACCACTAGTACCTTATTAAGGATGGACATTCAAGAGGGAGCACTTTTGATAAATTGGACAGTGAAGTGAATGTCAAATATAGCACAATAGTGTGAGATGTTTTACATAGCATAACAATAATTGAATACGCTAGTGATGCATAGTAGTTTATTTACTTTTTGGAAAACTATTTGAAGAAGGTATACAGCCTACCTTAGATTCATAACTTGAAAAGGCAATCTCCCAAGGATAAGAAATTATATTTAAATCATAAAACTCCTTGTAGCCCTTTCACAAGTACTCCATTCCAAGATAAGATCTCAACAATTGCAACACCTAACCTGACTAAAGTTATTGACATCAAAGGACATTTTTTTTTTCCATTTTTAAAATTAACTTCTAGTTTGCTCATCAATGTCAGTATCTCTTTATCAATATTGCACTAAAAGAAATGAGTCCAAATTCCACACATTCTTCTATATGTCACCAAGAGATTTCCTTAGGATAGGAGTTGCTTTTAATTTAAAAAAGAAAACCTACAATCTCCTATAATATTTCATACTCCTTATGCTTTATTCCCTATGGTAATTTCGATGTTCTCAAAGTCTCAAGAGTTTCCTCCCTCCCCTACACACTTCCCTATCTATATAGTCCTTTAGCCATGCTTTTGCTTACCAATCCATAAAGCTCTTCCCATATTTACTTCGTTTTCCTTTTTTTTTATTATTATTATTTTCTCAAAAAAAAAAAATATTAGGGATAAACTATTATTTTACCCCGACTTGACCAACCTTGTAAGGGAAAATTTATTATTAAATGCAATCGGTCTCCTCAAAAAGTAGTTACAAGTATTATTTAATATTACTTTTTCCGAGGTATGTGGATCATAGAAGGTGAGAAGAGACTTCATGGTATAGAGGAATACATTTAGAATGCAAAAAAAAAAAAAAAAAAAAAAAAAAAAAAAAAAAAAAAAAAAATCTTTAAATAATAAATTCCAATATTAAAGAAAGACCTATAAAAGATTTTTTTCTCACTTTTTTTTTATAGGGACGACTTTTGAAAGTAAAAAAATATCAAGTTGAAGTTGATTTACCCTCCCATTACAAGTAATCGATCTCCCCATGGCTTGCCTACTTAACCCACCTTTGACATCATTTCAACTCACAAAGTTGGTGTCATAACTCAAAACTCAATTTCCAAATCCTGGGAGCACATGCTATTCTCTTTTTACCTTCCAATTTTTCATTGTTTTTCTGATAGGGTTGTATGATAACATAGTTTTTTTTTTTAAAAAAAAAAAAAAAGGCACATCCATATTCCGCTTATTTGTACAAACTAATCAATTTAATCTTCAAAGCACCAAATAATAGCTCTCAAGTCTCAACACGCAGTGGATTTTCATAATACGAAACCACAAAAGAAAAGTACAAAGGTAAAACTATGCGGAAATGATAGTTCAACTCTACATTTTAACTCAAGAACCCTCAAAACTCCTCTCTAGGTATGACACTTAAACACATTATTTTGGACCAAAAACAAGCAAAATTTTATAAATATGGACACACGTGACACTTGGACACAGACATGTGTGATGTGTTGAACTTGTATGGTCGCATACTATTTGCTTACAATATCTTAGTAGGATGAGCAATTCTTAAAATTGCAATCTCATATTAGTTAAAAAGCTGTGGCATATGCACCAAAGGATACATTGGATCCATCCAAACTGAAAATTGATCACCCAAAACTAGAAGAAATAAAGCAAAATTACTTAAGACAGAAACATCAATTTGAAGCAAGAAGCGAGAACTAAGTAATGTCCACAAAGCACTCATCTAAACCCAAAACACAACTAAATAGAAACTAGTCATGAAGCCATACTAGTATCTGCAACATGATACTGACGGAGAACGTAAAGGCAAGCCCACAAAGCCTGCAAATTTACACAAACTAAGTCAAAATCTTCGCTTTAAACAAATGCGGATAATACAAAACAAGCTCCTAATAAATTGGCACTTACACTGCAGGAGAACGCAATAATCAATAGCCAGCAAGCCCACAATAATGCACCAAACAAGAAACAGTCAGCACAATAATCATCAGCTTTTTTTTTTTTTTTTTTTTTTTTTGGAAATATCATCAAGATAACATACTACAGTAGTACAGTACAATATTTCTCTAATTTCAATCGAAACAATCAGGAAAATATATTCAAAATCTACCACCAAACTCTTGAAATTCGATGAAGAAAGAGAAACCCTAACTTTCTTCACCACCAAACTATAAACAATTCACAACTCCAACATTATGGTTCAACAATTCAGAAACGAAATAGCAAGCATATATGACCGAAATTTGAATTAATCAAGCAAAAAAATTAATATTGGATCAAATTCAATAGAATTAAACAGGAATTTAGGAGATAGAAAACGATTATAAAGGAAAAGAAATGAACCTTCTACTGTCATCGCCATGGTTGAAAGAATTTGATCAAACAGCTTATTATCAAAATGAAATTCCGTAAATTGTGAATTAAAAGGAGATCAAATTGTTTCAAGATTGTAATTGGGAAATTGTTGCGGAGTGAACTGTGACATGGAAAGGGAAAGTCACCCCCCAGCTTTGTTTGGTTCAATTTTAGTCAAGAAAGGAAAGGGCATGGAGATGGAGAAAATAAAGGTTTGACACTTAAAAGTTTGTTTCTCGAAAGGGTATTCTTGTCTTTTCGGTTAAACAAGTAGGGTTATTTGTGTCATTTCAGTAAAACAAAAGTAGGGGTGTTCATAATTTGGATTAAAACCGAAATTCAATTCAATTCAATTCAATCTAAATCGAATTATCAATTCATATCGGATTCAAACATTAAATCGAATCGGATTGAATTGAAATTTTTTTGAAAATTCGGATAATTGATAATTAAATACATGAAAATAATGAATCGAGAAAATATTTATTTACCTCTTAATTACTAAATAATCATGAGTAAATGATTTTTTAATCATTTGCATGTCTTTTAGTTACTTATTAGTCTTTATTGTGTTGTTTATATATGAATTATTGTATGAAGTATACGTGCAACAATGTGTAATCTTATCAAAGATTAGGAATGAGATGAATATAGTTCATATCTAGGCCTTGCCTGGAATGAGGGTAATGGAGCTGAAAGATTAAAGGAGTAAATGTTACGGAGTTGCAACAGGTGCCTGGAATGGGGTTAAATATTTGGGCCTGGACTTTTTAACCCCCCCCCCCCCTTTTCTGGGGGTAATACATTACCCATGAGATTTTTTGCATGGAGGCGGATGCACAATGCTCCGTGCATCCATTTTCTTTTTAAAAATGCGGAATGAACATTTAATTGTTCAGTAAAGAATATACAGTTATTTTATAAAGAACACCTAGTTATTTATATATTTTATTTTTTTTGAAAGAAAGAACACCTAGTTATTTTATAAAGAACATCACATATAGTTGTATTGTAATGATTAATGAACATATAGTTGTTTTGTAAAAAAACATATAGCTATTTTGTAAATAAAAAAAACAAATTTTATGTTCTTTATATATATCTAAAGAACATCGGTAATATTAATAAAGAACATGATAATTAGAGGTGGTCAACTTCAGCCCGGCCCGATACGACTCGAAAATAAAGCGGATTTGGGCAACCCTAAAAATGCATTTTTTAGTTAAAAATCCAAACCCGACCTAAAAAAAGCCCAAAAAGCCCGCTATATTTTTCGGGTTTGGGCACGAGATATTATGTTAAGGCCCGACTCGACCCGAATTTTTGATTACCTATAGTGATAATTTAATGTAATGAACATTATTTTTTTATTCGACCACCATAATCTAAAGACAAAATTCAAAGAACATTTCAAAATAAACAATTAACATTATGTCACAAATAAAAGTACAACAATAAAAGAACATGAAGATAAAGAACATTATTTAACATTGTAAAACATGTTCTTTTCACTTTAACTAAATGTTCTTTACATTTCTATACAATGTTCTTTACAATTCTATAACATGTTCTTTTCACTTTAACTAAACGTTCTTTACATTTCAATACAATGTTTTTTCCAATAAATAGGTTAGATTTTTCTCAAAACTCTTTAATGACAAAAAAGATGTTTTCTCTCTCTAGTTTGCAAAAACGCTCTCAAGGGTCATCAAGGACTCCCCTCCTTGCTTAGGCAAGGGGGCCTTGGGAACCTTTGTTAGTAATTTTGCAAGCTTTCTTTCTCAAATTGTTTTTCTTTTTACAGGTATTCAGTTGTCGAGTTTCGTTCGTTGTCCTGTCCTATTACCATTCTTTTTTTTTCTTTTGTTCTTTTTCCCTTTCATTCTGCAATATGGATGGCTCTATCCATAATGTCTGAATTCAAAGTTCAGATAACCCTGATGTTGAAATATTGGAGGATAAGGGAGAGCAAGGTTCGCTCTCTAATCATGATATTCTCCCTATGGAGGTGCACGATCCTGTTGATTGTGAAGGTCTCATTAGTGATCTAATGATCCCTACTGACTCAAACTTGAGAGTTTCTCAAGAAGCGTCTCAAGAGGTGTCTCAAAGGGTGTCTCAAGAGGTATTCAAAGACAAAGATGTAGGGACACCTATGGAAGATGTTATTATGCTTGAGGAGGACAAGCTTACCTCTTCTCCTCTTTTGATCAAACAGTCCTTTCGTGAGGTTGTTATTGCCTCATCTCAATGGTTTTCGGAGGCACAGAAAATTATCATTACTTCTTCTGAATGGGAGGATGAAGATTTACCTCCTCCTGATCCTTTAAAAGTTGTTTCTTTCCAAAAGGATACTTTAGCAAAATTAAGAAAGCCATGGAAATTAACCTTAATGGGAAAATGCTTGGGCATATCGGTTAGACCTTCATTTATCACACAAAGGGTTCGAGCAATGTGGAGACCAAAAGGTTCTCTTGAAATTATTGATCTCGGAAAGGATGTTTATTTATTTAGATTTTCTATCCAAGATGATTATGAAAGAGCTATGTTAGGAGGTCCTTGGTTTATTCTAGATCATTATCTAATGTTAACCAAGTGGAAACCTAATTTTCGACCTTCGATGAATCCCTTTGATAGAATGACTATTTAGATACGCTTTCCGGAATTGTCGGTGGAATATTACGACAAGGAAGCTCTCTTTGACATAGAAAAATTGGCAGGTAATCCTCTCCGTGTTGATTATGCTACAGATTATCTAACTCGTGCTAGATATGCTAGAGTTTGCCTAGATATTGATTTAACAATTCCTTTAGTTACCAATGTTTGGGTGGGTAATGGATGGCAAGCTATCGAATATGAGAACATACAATGTTTATGTTTCTCTTGTGGAAAAATTGGGCATACTAAAGAAAAATGTAACCAAAAGGTGATTTTAGTTGATAAAGGGAAAGGGGTTCTTACTACCTCTATTTCTTCAGACAAAGAATTTTTAAGCATTGAAAAGTCTTCATCCCCCATTTCCCATGACAATTCTTTATCTCCCACTACCCATGGAAAGTCTTCTTCTCCCACTAACCATGAATTAGGGGTCTTGGTTCCCCAAACTTCTTTGGAATATGGTCCTTGGACTATTGTCACCAATAAGAAAAAAATCAATCAAGCTAAATCCACATTGAAAAAAAAAAAATCAATCTACTTCTCAATCTTCTAAACCAAACCCAATCTCAAAAGCCTATTTCTGGCCCTAGGCCCAATTCCATTAAGCCCAATCCGACCTCCTCTATTAAGCCTAGTGCTCTTATTTCTAAAGCCACACCCTCTCAAAGTGTTGGCAATCCAAACAAACAGACTACTTCTCTTAATTCTTTTGCCCTTCTAGATTCCTCTTCTACTAGTGCTCCATTAAATAAATTAGCCATTAAAATAATAAATGGCAATGATGAGCATTTACTCGGAAATAATCAAAAAAATCCCAGAAATCTTTCCCCCGAATTTCTATCCCCATACGCTTCCCCTTCTTCTTCTATTGATCCAACCAAAATTCAAAATTGCCATTTGGCAACCTTCAACTCGGATTTAACCATGGAACACATGCAAACCCTTCGACTTCCCCTATATTAATTCATAACTCAGACTCCATGATCATCACCGAAACACAACTCACTGAAAAACAACACAAAGAAAACAATTCACATGGAGAAGAACAAAGCCAAATTAACCCCAATCCGACCACCCCGACGGACTGTCAAGATCTCACGAAGGGAGAGCGTAACTCCGCCGCCTCAACAACCGTTACCTCCGACTACCCTATCCCTCTCATCGTCGACCACCATAAGTCACCAGAGACTTCCAATCACTCCAGCCCAACCAATCTCAATGCGCATGCCTTTCCCTCCACTACTTCAAAATCACCACCCATTTCCGACCCAAACACCACCCCAATTTCCATTCCAGCCCACTCTCTCGCCGGCACAAATAACCAGCCTTGTTTCAACTCCTCCAACCCCTCCAATTCCTCTGCTATGGTCATCGATAGAGTCATCTCCGACCCCGGCCAAGATAGAGATGATGTACAATACCTTACTACAAATTACCAGCCTGATGAACTCTCAATTCCACCCCAACCCTCCACTTCTTCCGCAATCAGCTCGGCCGTGGTTTCGAAAGCAAGTGTCGTGGCTGAATTACCTGAATCACGACCTCGTTCCACCTCCTCCCAACCCCCAAATAATCGATCTTTCTTTGGGAAATAGCGAGCAAAACCTAGAAAACCCAGAAAACCTTATGAAAATTTTCAAGATCAGAAAAGGGATAGTGGGTTTACAGATAGAGGTGAATTTCTAGGAAACACTGAACACAATCAGGGAGTTGGATTCCATGGTAATTCCGCTTAAAATGCACGACGTAGTTCGGATTACTCGTGCGATGCAATGGAAGGAATGGGATCGTTTTGATATCCTTTTTTGCAAAGGCAAGCCGGTTCCGAAACTTCCTGATCTTAACATGAAGATAGTTCTGTGGAATGTAAGGGGAGCAACAAGGAATGAATTTATTCCTCACGCTTGGGAGGTAATTGCAACTCATAAGACTAGCATTTTTATCATTTTAGAAACTAAGAGTGATGGTTTACGTGCTGATAAAGTTGCTAATTTGCTTGGATTTACTGATTTCCAATTTATTAATCCAAATGGTCTAAGAGGTGGTATTTGGTTAATGTATAACCAAAAATGTCCAATTAATTGATTATGTTGAAGGGCACAAAAAAAAATTATTTCCACGCTTTGTTCAAATTTAGTCCTGACAGTAAAGAAGTGCTCTTAACTGCGGTTCACGCTCCTTCTAATCCTGCTCAAAGGCATAAATTGTGGAATGACTTAAGAGCTTCTTTCCCTCCTGATAATACTCCCTGGTTATTTTTGGGTGATCTGAATGAAGTCACTAGACCCTCTGAAAAGTCGGGTGGCT